CGTTACTGCAGTTGGATATGAAATCTCGTAATTCGAAACCTGCTTCCAAATTGATGTTTACAATCTGTTGGCAGACTGTAATGGCTTCGTGTGTATCGTCAAACTGGCAACCAGGTCATCCACGTAGTGATTATTTATTATGGCAGGTGCCGCTTTCGGGAATTCTGTTTCAAATCTTTCGGCGTTTTTATTCTTCACGCGCTCGGCGGTACACGGTGAGCAAACTGCACCGAAAATCATAGTTGTCATCAAAAATTCTTATATAGGTTCGTTGGAGTCCCCGGTTCCGCCATAAATAACGTTGTGCATGTTGATCTATCGGTCGTACCTTTATTTGTGAGAACAGCTCTCTGATATCTGCCGCAACTCCGATCTTCCCTTGTCTAAACTGTAACAATATGCGTAGTAGCGGTTGTGCTTGCTCGGGGCCTTTCAGCAAAGCTGAATTCTGTGACACTCCATTGACTGAGGCTGCGGCGTCGAAAACTATGCGAAGCTTGCTAGGTTTGTTCGGGTAGAAAACAGCGAAGTGCGGCAGATACCAGATTTGAGGATGTGACGCATTGAGTTCTTCATCGGTTACCTTTCTGGCGTACCCTTTTTCCACATACTTGGCTATTTCACGTTTATACCGGAGTGCAAACTCTTCGTCACAGCTCATCCTCCTTTCAACCGATAACAAACGCTTTACCGACATCTCTCGGCTGCGTGGAAGCTGAGGTGGAAAGGTTTTCCACAGAAGCCCAACCTCGTAGCGATTACCTAATTGCCCCATTGTTGACTTCAATACAGCGTTTGCTTGCTTCTCTGCGTCGGACTCGAGTTTCTCTGTAACTGGGCTTATGCGTAAGTTATCCGTTTCGAAATAGTTTGAAACCAGTTGGTGTAGCTGTTGGCATTCTCGCACGTGCAAAATTCGCAAACCTGTCGTTGACACAAACTTGGTCGGGTCATACGCCACCCAACCCAATGACGTTTTGATAGCCACCGGACTTTCATGGTCGGCCAGAACGGTACTCGAGCTGATACCTAAATGTGCTTCATTTAAACCGATCAACAAAACTGGTTTCGCCATGCTGTAGTCTTGCAATGGCAGGTCCCTTAAATGGTAGAAATCTTCTTTGGCAAAAGACTGCTTAGGTAAATTCAGATTTTTTACCGTATGTACGTTTTTCAATGAAAATCTAGTATTATCGCAACAGCTACCAATTTCAAAGGTTACCTTGAATGAATCGGTCACGACCCTGTAGTTGTACCACTGGAGTGTAAGGGGTTGACGGTGACCCTTAAGCCCAATGCTCTTAGCAGTCTCATCTTCTATTACTGTGATCGCTGACCCTTCATCGAACATTGTCAAAACTTTGTATTTACCATTCGGCCCATAAAGGTTAACCGGAAGAGTTTTAAATAGCTGCTTAGACGTCTGCTGTACAAGACGGCAATTCAGCAGCGGCTGCGTGCTAATCTGTCGTTGGGTTGCTTGTTGCGGTACGGATTGTTGTTCATCACTGTGTAACAATTGGTTGTGGTACCTTGCACAGCCATTTATATTACAAGGCTTCTTAGACAGGCATTTCGACGAACTATGTCCTTTGCGAAGACAATCAAAACACAGTTGACACATTTTTACCACTTCCCATCTTTCTGCTACACCTACCGTTTTAAAGACTTCACACCTTGCGATTGAATGGTTGCCGCCACAATGGAAACACTTCATGGGCTCTGCTGGGCTTTCATCTTGTATGTGCATCAAACGTCGGGGATTAGCTGACGACACATTATGCTTGTAAATATTTGTGTTGGCAGCCGGCATCAAACAAACAACTCTGGCTAAGTCACTAAGCCATGCAGAAAAATCTTTTATTGTGGGGTACCTATTCGATAAGTGCTGGTCACACTTCGCAGATTTCAAAAACGCTACCACGTTACGCACCTTGGTAGAAAATGTCACTATCTGCTCAGGCTTGTGCTCGGCTATAGTCGGGAGTTGTTGTA